CATTTCTTCTTGCATGTGTTACATGGAAAACAGTTGAATTTCTATCCAGTTGACATTCAGCAATTTGGCCAGGTGTGTTGTTGCTTTGTTTTGCTGCTTTGACCTTCCTGCTGGTCATGGATGATCACCCCGGCCACATTCCTCCAAGATTATTCCAACCTCAGAACAGTTAAGTATTTTCTTCCCTTAGTTGACCTTTTCCTCTACACTTTGCCTGAGAAGAAACTGCCAGTTAACAAATGTCATGCTTTGGGAGGTGATTTTGATCAGAAGGTATTGGCACAGAGTGCTTCCCCAAATATATTTAAAGAGTGCTCTTTCCTCTGTTTTTAAGACTGAAATGCTACTGTCATTCCCAGTGTTCTTTTCTCTACTGTCCAGTCCAACTGGATTCATCTCTCAGCCAGATATTTTTCATTCTCCTCAGTAAGGGTAGTAGGGGTGATGAGAAGAGTTGAGATCTGGATGGATTTCAGTCCTTTTTTTCTCATTCCTGTACTCTACTTTGTATATTCTATACTATAAGAAAAGCTCTGTGGGAAAGACATTGTATTTCATCTGCCATAAACTATATCATAAAACTAGAGCAACAAAGTAGAGTGATTCAGAGCATGAGCTTTCAGTCAGATCTTGATTTGAAGCCTTGCTCTGAGGCTTACTTATCTTATTTCTTCCTTAATACACGGGTTCTTAAGTCTTTTGGGGTTTGTATTTAATTTATACGTCTATAATCACATGCAGGTGGCTCCACAGAGTTTACTGGAGAAGTCCTTTCTGGGCCAGAGTCCAAAGAACTAGTCAATTCAGAAAATGTGAACAAGTTTTCACCTGCCTTTCTAAAGAACAGATTTTTAATTAGAGATCAATTCTATGTCAGTTGAATTCTCAGGCAGCTGTTTCAGAAGACTGATATTACGTAAATAAATCTCTTACTAATCTGGTAGGGTATATTAAGCTTTTAAAGTACAACATGTGATTAAAATTTACATATAATTTTCATTTTCTTCATATGCAAAAAAACATTTAATTTTCAAGTTGAATTTGATCCACCTGAACTCTGGTGGTTTTGTTTTTGCTTCCATGCCACCATGCTGCCATACCATCTTTTTTTTTTTTTTCCTTTTTGTCTTTTTTACTGACCGGTAATGGGATCGCAACCCTCGGTGTTGCGCCTGCACCGTGCTCAGCCAGTGAGCGGGAACCGGTCTCCACATGGGATCCGAACCCTCGGCAGGAGCGCCGCTGCGCTCCCAAGCAGCGCCCTCTCCAGTGCGCCACCGGGCCGCCCTTGCCATACCATCTTTTTTTTTTTTTTCTTTTTTGTTTTTTTTACTGACCGGTAATGGGATCGCACCCCTCGGTGTTGCGCCTGCACCGTGCTCAGCCAGTGAGCGGGAACCGGTCTCCACATGGGATCCGAACCCTCGGCAGGAGCGCCGCTGCGCTCCCAAGCAGCGCACTCTCCAGTGCGCCACCGGGCCGCCCTTGCCATACCATCTTTGATAGCATTTATAGAGCTTTTAATTTTTTTCAGTGATGATAAGGGATTTTTGTAATCAGCCACACACTCATTCCTAGTCCCCTTGTGAACAACAGTATGTTACTGTTAACTCAGTATGTCATTGATAACTGAAGGGTTGTAATCTGGGGCCACAGAAAAAAAGAGGATTAATTGTACCATCTAGAGTGTGTCTGCTGTTACTTTCTGGCAGCTTATATCACACCTAATAGCAGTCTCCTGGCCCCACTGAGTCTGCTGTGCATTTTGTTCTATCAGAAAAGTTCTTTGAGATTCGTCTGAATGATTCACATAGAAAGCCCTCTTTTCCCTTATATCATGCGTAAGTTTGACTCTGGGTCTTTCTCTTATAATCAAGTAGTTTTGAAGTCCTGGAAGCTTTGAATTAACCACAGGCCTTTGTCTACCTCCCCAACCCTCACCCTGTGAAAGCACTACATGTATTTTAAAGAACACATTTAGATATGTTTTAAAGCAAAAATGCACTTAGATATGCTTTGAAGCATAAGCAACAAATGTATCTAAGAATAATCTTACAGAACTTCAAAAACCAGGAAGTTAGTTTCTTAAGTTAGTGTTTGTCAGAGAGGAACTACCTCTATATCACAAAAGGAATGTCTGAAGTATGCTCAGTTGTTTTAAGCCCTCAACAAATACACTTCTTTTGTAGATGTAGAGAACTGCTCTGTTTACTAGAAACCAAAGTGCCCAAAGCTGTTACTTTGCCTGATGAATAGGTAGAATATTTAGGCTTTATTTTAAAAATATTTTCATTTAGTAAAGCAGATGGTTGCTGTGTTGGCAGAAGTGTGAATTTCACTTCCTGTCTGTTGTGTACCCTACTCATCCTGTCACTCAGACATTTTGTTTTAGTTTGTTCCGGTAATGTGAGTGAAACAGTAACCCACAGCAGGGTGGCATGAGCACACCATGGGTGTAACAAGAGACAAGTGTTGTGCAACAGACCACAAGAGAGCAATGCTTTATATAAAGATGAAAACAAAACAAAATCGAGGCAGCCCCTCCCTGCCAGCATGCAAAGTTTTAAAGTGGCATCTGTGGATTTTTATGTTTTGTTTTTAAGAAGACATGTTCCAATCTATATGGCAAGTTACCTCAAAGGTTTTGTCAGCTTCGTGCCACTTTATTAAAGGATAAAACTGAGTCAACGACTGACAACACTATAGAGGTGATTTAATTTTTTTTTGCCAATTTATCATCAAACATTTTTATTACAGTCCATTAATCTGCCGCATATAATGAGTTCTTTAACTATAATTTTTTACATGTGAGGCTTGTCCTAAATTACAGTTCCTGCTGCAGTGATGGGACGCACATAACAGTGTAGCAAAAACCCAAGGATGAATTCATTCATTCACCGCGTATCTTTTGAGCACCTAATATGTGCCTGGCACTATTTCCAGTGCTGAGGATACAGTGATAAGCAAAATGATGTCCCTGCCCTTGTGGAGCTTGCATTCTATTATAGGGAGATAGCTGTAATCTAGTATACAAGGAAGAAGTATAATTTTAATTTATCATAAATATCCTGAAGGAAACAAAACTGAACAGGATAGATTAGAGTACGATTGGGATTGGGGGAGGGGCAGCGATACTGGAGCTGAGACTTAAATAGTGACAGACCAGGAGAAAAATGTTCCAAGTAGAGAACAAAAAGCACAAAGACCCGGGGGGGGAGGGGGGGCTGAAATACTGAAGAAACAGGAAGGACAGTTTGACTAGATCATAGTAAGCAAAAGGGGAGATGGTATAAGATCAGAGAAGTAGCTTGCTACAAGATGTTACAGGGCCTTGAAGACCAAGCCAAAGACTGGCTTTTCATTTATACAGACAAAGGGAAACCTTTGTAGGGTTTTAAACAGGGAAGTGACATTATATGATCTATATATATTTTAAATCACTCTGGTTGCTCTTTGGAGAGTGGATAATAGGGGAGCAGAAGTGGTTGTGGACAGACCTGTTAAGTGGCTTTTTTGCTGACTTAATGTCTGAGATTTGTTTCACTTTAGGGGCAAGGTGAAGGGGGTAAGGATATAGAAGCAGCAAAACTGACCATGAATTAAAGATGGAATGTGATGAGAACATGGGGGTTCATTATATTATTCCCTCTACTTTTGTATATGTTTGAAATTTTCTGTAATGAAAGACTTTTTTAAACAGTGGTCCAATTGAGAAATGATGGTGCCAGGCACCAGTTTGATAGTGGTAATGAGGATAAGTGGGCAGATTCAAAATATATGTGAAAGTAAACCTCATAGGGCTTGCTGATGGATTAGATGTGTATTGTAGGAGGGAAAGAGAGAAACCAAGAGCAACTATTTTGTATTTTTACCAGACAACTAGGTGGATGAGACCAGGGATCAGTTTGTGGGGAACTCAAGAGTTTAGTTTTGACCATGTAAATTTAAGATACCGGTTAGATTTCCAAGTGGAAATATTGAGTAGGCATTGTCATTTACGATACGTTAACTAACCCTGAATAGCAGTACCATACTCACAAGCAAACTTGGAACTTTCCATTATGTGTTTCTAAACTTTGCCATTAGTGACTTAAAAGTTCTGTTCTTTTCAGATTCTGTGGGTGACATTGAAAGGCTTATTAGTCTGTTGATATGAAATAATTCAGATATATTTTCTGTTTTCTCTGTATATCTACTAGTAATTGTATTTTGAATAGCCTCTATCCTGAGCAGTAATTCTCCACCTATATTAAGTTACCACCCACATGAATGAATTAATGTTAACATAGAGGACAAACTCCAATGGGTTAAACACGCTTCCTGTGCACTGCTCCTTTTCGATGTGTGTGGGGATGCAAGTTGGTGAGAGTAAAATTTTGAACTAGCACTTTAGTGTGGTGTGTGTATATTTTAAACATAAGTGTTTTTTGCAAACTTTAGATCTGTTATTAGTAACTTAGTATTGTAACATATTTTACATCTTATCATATCAGGACACTTTTGCAATACCATTATTGATAACCATAGATCAACTACCAATAACTAATATTTATTAAGGTCTTGTTACTTAAGCACGACTTTAAGAAGCTGTATTTTCATTGACTCTTCACACAATCTCGTTTTATTGTCCCTGTTTTACAGATAAGGAAATTTAGGCCCAAAAAGGTTCACTCAGGAAGCAGCAGAGCCAGAATTCAGATGCAGGCAGTGTGGTTTCAGAGCCTTTACCTTTTTTTTGTTTCCAGAGCCTTCACTCTTAACTGCTACTATGTAATGTGTATAGAATATTGTAATTTTGTTCCAGAAAAATTGTCTAGAGTAATCAGGACTGTATGAATAACCAGAGTCTCTTGATTTTGTTTTTATTTCATCCCATGAAGTTTGGACTTTGTAATAGGGAAGAGGGAATAATCCTAAAGTGGGTCTCCATCCTACTCTTTGATTTCCTTCTTTAACTGATTTATTAATTTATTTTCTTTTTACTTATTTCTTGTAGCATCAGTGAGAGCTTTTTGACTGTCAAAGGTGCTGCCCTTTTTCTACCACGGGGAAATGGTTCGTCCACACCAAGAATCAGCCACAGACGCAACAAGCATGCAGGTAAAGCTGCATATACACTATATCTTACTTGATTACCTTGCCTTTTGTTTCATTCTAAAAGGCTGATGACCTCATCGCATTTCTCTAACATTTTTTTTAATAGTGAAAGAAAGCATTGTGCTGTGCTGTAATCACTTTTCTTTCACTCTCACAGGCCATTTTTCTAGCACTTAGCAGAATGCCTTACACACATAGTAGATGTTCAATAAATTTTTTGTTGGAATAATAATGAGAAGGTACAAAAATATTCTAGTGAAGTCATATGTGACTTCTCAATTAAGGTTTTTTTTTTTTTGTTTTTTTTTTTGTCTTTTGACTTTTTCCGTGTCCGGCAACGGATCGCAACCCTCAGTGTTGCCCCCGTACCAGACCGGGGACCGGCAACGGGATTGCAACCCTCGGCGTTGCTCCCGTGCCTCGCTCAGCCAGTGAGCGGGAGCCGGTCTGTATGTGGGATCCGAACGCTCGGGCGGGAGCGCCGCCGCGCTTCCCAAGCGGCGCACTATCCAGTGCGCCACCGGGCCGGCCCTCAATTAAGGTTTTTTTTTTTTGTTTTTTGACTTTTTCCGGGTCCGGCAACGGATCGCAACCCTCAGTGTTGCCCCCGTACCAGACCGGGGACCGGCAACGGGATTGCAACCCTCGGCGTTGCTCCCGTGCCTCGCTCAGCCAGTGAGCGGGAGCCGGTCTGTATGTGGGATCCGAACGCTCGGGCGGGAGCGCCGCCGCGCTTCCCAAGCGGCGCACTATCCAGTGCGCCACCGGGCCGGCCCTCAATTAAGGTTTTGATAGCTGAAAGATGTTCAGCTATTCTTTCATATCTTATGCAAAATCATTTCAACTAACCAAAGATTAAATTTCTTATTTCTCTCTGATCTCTAGTGGTGGTAGGAGGAGAATAATATAGGATATTACTGAGGTAAATAAAGAAAACTCACTGTCATTGCCATGATAACAGCATTATCATATCACATGTTAAAATACCAGTTCTTAAATGCCAGAGTCTGCTTCTTGAATGTGTACACATTAAAAAGATTGGAAATTTGACCCAGAGGTCTTTTATAAGCAAGAAGTCATTGAATAACTGTTCACCTAGGAATGAGTGTAAGACTTTGGTTTTGAAATTTCCAGTAACAGTAGTATGTATTTGCATTATATTTTCTTATATTGGATTCCTCTAAAGTCAGGTATACCTGTGGTCATGAGGTTGTATGTCCTAGGGAGAGAGGTCTCCAGGTATAGGATATCCGCAGTTTGGAAGACAATCAGCCTCATACTTCTCTTCTACCAGCAAGCTTTATTTATGGCATTTTGGGGAAAAAAATAAGAGCCAACATGCAGACAATAATTCTGATCAGTACTATACAAAAAGGTGGTTGCTTATCATAAATGTGCAACTTTGATGAATCGTGACCTCTAAGAGTAGAAGAAATTGCAATTACTAGGAAGAGAACAAAGAAAACTGCAAACCTTGAGTGTATAGGTCAAAGGTGAAAGCCATAAATACTGGATTCCATTGAGCCAGTATTGACTTTAGCTCTAGTCAGGATAATCTCAGCTATTTTAGTGGCTGCTCTTCTTCTTGTTGGGGCCTTCATCCAGTTGCAAATGTATCAGCCCAGAATTATAATCCATTTTGTTGAACCTTATTCCCACCAAAACTCTCCAGCAGTGGAAAGTTTTTTAAAGAGTAAAGGGGAAAAAAAAATGGCTTCTTTTGGAAATTAGCTTGAGTTACACTTTCTAAAACTTATCCCCTCAATGCCCACCCCTAGAGGTAGGGGGGAAGAAGGAGGAACACGTTCCAAAAATACTTGAATGCACAGAGGAAGTAGGCCCAGCCAAGCTTTGTATTTCTGTTTAGTGTGGATATTTATCACTTACAGAAAAAGGAAGATAAATTATTGGTTAAATCCAGCTTGTCTAAGATGTTAGGCAAATTGCTCTGTATTGGTGTGTAATAATAAGTGGGATCAGTAGCTTTTAAAGCTCCTGGCCCTGGCTGGCCTTTTTCTTTGGTCAAACTTCCACGGTTAACTGCCTCCCAGGTTTCTACTTGACCTTGTTCACTTAGCCTTCCCCATACTGAAAAAAAGCAGATTTAACACAAGCTGAATGGGCTTGATTTGTTATCTGGACCAGAATAGATGAAGCAGTGTCACTATAAACACAGCTCAGAAAATCCAGACCATCATATAAACTGAAGCTGCCTTGGCTAAGCTCACAGTAAGTGAAAGATGATGGCAGAATTGAGAACAGATCAAGGGCTTACTGTGTCTAATTGTCCTTTCTTATGCATGTTTCTTGAACTGGTTAGAATTTTTTTTTGTAGGTTTCATTTAAAATATCCGAATACTATTTTGCAATCAGAAAGTGATATGAGTGAATGTCTGCCAATAATTTAAAGGGAATCAATGAAGAATCTTTAAAATCAAACTGAAATCTGAAATTTAACTACTAGCAATGAAATTATGGGAAAATGCAGGGGAGAGATCTTAGTGTTATAGCGGTATATTGCCTTTATTAGTATCTGCAAAGAACAGTTCCCCATTGGGATATAATCCCCAGTTTACTGTTGCAATACTTTTTATAGCTATCAGATCTGAGCTTCCACATACCCAACATTCATTAGAAGCCTTACTGTTGGAGTAGGAATCCTGACTTCTGTCTGAACTTCAAATAAGTCAGCTGGATCTTTGGGCCAGTAGTGCTTGGAGTAGAGACTTTGGGCTACTATTTAGGGTTCTCTTCAGATTGTTTCTAATGATTGCACAGAGGAAACTTAGTTTTTAAAAAGTCTCAGCTCCTTAACTCAATTGTGACTTGTAAATCTAGTAACTTTTTATTGCTTATACCTAACACTTTGTGTCCCCACACTTGTTCTTTTATTTTTTTAACTGCTTTATTGAGATATAATTCACATACCATATAATTCAACCAATTTACCCATTTAAAGTAGACATTCATTGGTTTTAAGAGTTGTACAGGGCCGACCCGGCGGCGCACTCGGTAGAGTGCGGCGCTTGGGAGCGCGGTGGCGCTCCTGCTGAGGGTTCGGATCCAATATAGAGACCGGTCCGCTCACTGGTTGAGCGCGGTGCGGGCGCGACACCGAGGGTTGCGATCCCGTTACCGGTCACAAAAAAAGACAAAAAGGAAAAAAAAAAAGAGTTGTACAATTATCATCACAATCTAATTTTAGAACATTTTTCGGGGCCAGCCCAGTGGCGCACTGGAGAGTGCGCCGCCTGGGAGCGCGGTGGCACTCCCGCCGAGGGTTCAGATCCCATGTGGAGACCGGTTCCCGCTCACTGGCTGAGCGTGGTGCGGGCGCAACACCGAGGGTTGCAATCCCATTACCGGTCAGTAAAAAAGACAAAAAGGAAAAAAAAAAAGAAGAACATTTTTCATCACCCCAAGAAGAAATCTGATACCCATTAGCAGTCATTCCCTTTTTCCCCTCATCCTCTCCCCCAGCCCTAAGCAACCACCAATCTACTTTCTGTCTCTATAGATTTGCCTATTCTCGACATCCCATATAAAAGGAATGATATAAATAGATTTTTGAGACAGATTTCTTTCACTTGGCATAATGTTTTCAAGGGTCATCCATGTTTTATGTGTATCAGTACTTCATTCCTTTTTATGAGCAAATAATATTCCATTTTATGGATATACCACATTTTATTTATCCACGCATCAGGTGATGAACATTTGAGTTGTTCCCACTTTTTGGCTGTTATGAATAATGTTGTATGAACATTTGTGTGTAAGTTTTTGTAGGGACATATATTTTCATTTGTCTTAGTTTTATGCCTAAAAACTTAGCTTATGTCTCGGGTTTGAAGTGTAGTAGAAAAATTCTGGCCAAACATAATGACACTATCCTTTTTAATTGTGAAAGCTGTAAAATTCTGCAATAATGGAATTGGTCATAAGCCAGCTGTGAAATGGGGGTGGGGGACAAGAAAACTATTTTGTAAGCAAAGGAAAAGGGGGGGAAAAGGAAAGGCTCTCAAACTTGTTGGCCTTTTAGACAAACACACCTGTTTGCCAATATACTTTTTTTCTTCTGCCTCTCTTCACTTCTTGTACCTACCAGTATTTCATCTCATAATTAACAGCAGTGAAGTTAACTGGAGGAAAATTATGTACATTGATTCCAAGACCAGTGTGAGAACAGGTTACACTGGTGTCCATGTGGCCATGTCAGTCACCTTAGACTCTTTAAAAGGGTTGGACCTGGGTAGGCAAGAATGAAGTTTTTTTGTTCTCAGGTTGTCATAATTTATGACAGTATGTCATCTAATTATCTCCTACTAGCCAAAGCCTCAGATTTCCTTGTACAGAATAGGGAATATGAGGAAATCTATAATAGTTTAATACAAAGAAATTTCAACTTAGTTTTGTAAAATGTATAAGAACAAGTGAGGATTCAAGTAATGGTTGGCCATTCAGGAGAATATATATCCCTTATATGATACATACAATATATACTGTTATTTTAATATCAGCCTCTAATGTGGAAATTATTGTAAACTATTGACATTATTCTAGAGGGAATATAAAAATCTTCGTAGGTTAAGTGCAACTGAAGGTTACAATTACAGAAATAGGAATGACAAAATGGTTAGCATTTTAAAAGTTATAGATAATTCTTTTAACACTACACCACACCCTCCCATTTTCAAAATGCCCTCATCGCTACCTTCGGTAGGCCTGAAAGCACAGACAGTGCTTCCTCTGCTCAACAGATCTCACCATCATCAACATCCACCAAAGTACAAAACTGAGATTAGTCTCAACTGCATCTTCAGTACACCAGATACAACTTTTAATGTAGTATAGACTAAAGGTGAGTATATAAAGATGCAGCCTACCATTCTTCCTAGTTGGAAGGAAGGCAAGAATCATATTACTGAATTTCTATGTCTAATTAGAGTTTTTTAGTAAATCAGAACTTTTTTTTTTTTACACAAAAGTTACTAGGGTGGAAGGAATCCTCTCTGTTGATATTAGAATGGAGAATGATTTTCCTTTGCTTTGTACATTTCACCAGGCGATCTTCAACAGCATCTCCAAGCAATGTTCATATTACTCCGCCCAGAAGACAACATCAGGCTGGTAAGTTAGTGGTATTATCATAACTCTCTTCCTCAAAAGACTAAAATAGCCAACATTAAACAGTCATTTTTACATCCCAACACAGTGCTAGGAACTATGTGGAATAGGAAAGGAGAATGGCATGTCCTTATCATCCAAGATCTTAGAATTTTATGGAGTGTATGTGGAGTAATGGAAAATATTTGATGGTTCAATACTGTGGGTAAGCACCAGTTTGTAAGTTAATGACCATAATAACAATTTAAGTTATTGTGAAACAGAGAGCTGTGAAAAGGAGAGAAAACTTGGGGATTTGACCTAGTTGAGGAAGCTTTCATAGTGGAGCTTGAGCTGGATCTTGAAAGACGATGAGATTTGGATTGGCAGAAAGAAATTGTTCTAGATGAGGACATAATTTAAGGAAAAACACATATAGGGAGGGACTAGGATGGAGTGAAATGGCCAAGGATCGATGCTAATCTTAGTCAGAAGACCTGGGTTTATGTCCATGCTAATCATGTGGTGTTGGACAGGTGATTTTAGCCTGTCTATGCCTTTTTCTTCATCTCCTGACTACCTTCCACAGTTGAGAGGATCAAATGGACACGAAAACACATTAAAGAGTGTAAAATACTGCCTAAGTATGGGAATTATTGTTACTATAAGGAAGATAGAGACCAGAAAACAGGCAGGCAAATATGAATTTAATGCTCTAAACTTCAGGTCTCAAACTGGCAGCACATATGCCAGAAATACGTTGTTTGGACCACAGTGTGTGTGTGTTTGTTTTTAATATAAGCCAGAACTATAAATTTGGGTTATTTCATGTAAAAATTCAGACCTGGGTCTTGTCTTCAAAACTCAAACATTTCTGGCAGCACTGGAACTTAATTTTCACATGGCAAAACTTGGCTGTACTGGGGTGGAAAGAGGTGCGATATGGGTTCTTAATTTATTATTCCCACATATCCTGTTTTCTCCTGTAAGCTAAAGTCAGGTATCACCATTTGCTATCACTCCTGCACTGTTCGTTTTCTTAGAGTACTACCTCTAATAAAAGTAGGAAAACAAAAATGGGATGAGCATGCTTCTTTGTGCAAATTGAAAAGAATTTCTACCTATTTACTATTCACGTGGCTTTCACTCTTTTACATTTCCTATGTGACTTTCTACATTTCTAACTAGAAGTAGTACCTTCTCCCTCTTTGGTAAGCAGTTGTGAAATATTACAGGTTTTTGAGCCCAGGAATGACATGGGACAGCTTCAGTACTTAAGGAAGATTCCTTAGAGCTAATACAGAATAGAGAAGGAGGAGGAGGCCATTTTAAATCAGGGAGGCCTACTGGGTAGTTACTGTAATAATCCAGGTGTGTGGTAATGAGTCCTTCTAGGTTAGAATAGTTATTTGGAAATTGAGTGAGAGCCACAGACACATTAAGTTCAAATAGTTTATCTCTATTTTCTGTCCAGGAAAAGGGATTATGAGTAGGATACAAGTTTGACTGTGGAAACTTTATGATCAGGCCTCTGAACTCTGTGGTAATCACTGATTCTTCATTCATTTAATCATTCTGTGTTTAAATTTTGTCATTCTCTTGAATGCTGCTTCTGTTGCCTTTACATGGCCTCTAATTTTTGTTGAGAAACTTACTTTGAAATTGAAAGGAGTCCTTTTATGATTATTTTATGTCCTAATCCAAAAGTAACATTAAACATTTATGTAACTCTTGTTTGTATTTCTTGATTTACTTCTTTCTTAAACAGTTCTTTAGAAGTGAACAAAGATTGGGGGATGCAGTTCTTATAGCCTTAATATTCTAAAGCAATGATTCTCAAACTTTGGAGTACATCCAAATCACCTGAAGAGCTTTGTTAAACCATCAATTGCTGGGCTCCATCCATGGAGTGTGATTGGTGGGAGGGAAGCAGTGATAATTTGTATGTTTAATGTTTCCAGGTGATGCTGATGCTGCTGGTCCAAGAATTACACTTGGAGTACAAATCCTAAAACCCATAACAACAGTCACTTGCACATACCAGATGCCCAATAGACATTTGCTGACAGCTTCCAAAAATCGAGTGGCTTGATAAAGCTAACATTCAGGTCTATCATCTCTCATTTTATCTTTTTCACACTGATAATCTTCTGGAGTTTGGTTTGAACCTCTAAATATTAAAATAACTTTAACCACATGAGACTTGGGAGAGCGTGAAGGAAGCAGTTACAAAGGCAAAGTTGGCAATTAAATCTTTTCTTTTCCTACTAAAATAGGCAGCTTCAGCTGCTTTACATTTATAAAATATAAATTCAGAAAATGTAACTGATGCCTCTGAATTAATTCAGAGTTCAGATGACAAGCTATTTTACAGTTGTTTTGAATTGTTACAAACACATAGTCATTATGTTTTAGATTATTGAGTGAGTCATCTTCAAGAAAATGAGTGAATGCATTGTATGACTTTGGGCAAATTAGCACTTTCTAACTGAAAGAAGGATTTGTAGACTCAAAGCAAAGGCTTTTGTTTTGAGTTATATTTGGAATGCTAAAACTCTTATCTTGGGACTTGTGCATAAGGTTAAAAGTTTGATAGTCAACTGAAAGTCCTGCCTTTATTTTTTTAATGATCCCAACAGCAAACCCAACCAAACCCCACATTTTGCTTTAGCATTGAAAACAGGACGAAAGCAATCTTTTCCTCCAGGGAGGCTCTGTATTCCAAATACAGGTATTAAGCATTTTAGGAAAACTATAGCTGGTAAAATAAAGGAAGTGGTTTTATAGTACTCCTGCACATTATCAAAGACCCATTTAATAAAAAAATAGACTGGGAATTTAATAATTTTCAGGACATTTGAGTAATTTCAGTTAATGTTCCTAATGAGAGCTGAGGTGCTGATAAGGTACAAAGAGGTCTTTTTGAGTACTTTGCCAGAAAATTTAAGAAAATGTGAAGTGTATTCATTTTTATAATATGTTGCTTTTTTCCCAAAATGAAAACGGGCTTAATTTTTCTAAGTATCAGTATATTATGTGGGGTTTTTTCCTAAATCAGACAATACAAAAAGGTATAAAGATGAAAATAAAAATCATTCTGTATCCTACACTCTGAGAAAACCTTTCTTAATAATTTGGATAAGTGTCCTTCCAGTGTGTGTGTGTGTGTGTGTGTGTGTGTGTGTGTGTGTGTGTGTACACGTGTACACATAGAGATAGAGAGAGAAAGTATGTGTGAGAGAGAGCATTGTTTTTTTTTTTTTACAAAAATTACATAAAAACATAAATACTGTTTTGTAACCTGCTTTCTTCACAGTTTATCATGGCTATCTTTCCATGTCAGTAGATAAACCATGGCTTTTAATGGCTGTATAGGATATAATTGTTTTTTTTTTTAATTTAAAAGATAGAAATGTCTATCATAGAGATAAATTAAAATAAAAAAAAATCCAGAGACTCCCTCAAGACCTAATCTATTTCTTTTGAAGACAGTATTCTTTATTAGTGTCACATCTGAAGTCTACTTTAATTTTAGCTATTTACTTTGTTCTTTTGGCTAGAATTTAATATTTACATATTTTTGAAACCTTTCCCTCTGATGGATCGGGTGAGCTGCCTGTCTAGACATTGGGTCTTTATAATGTGGCTTCACTGAGCATAAACATTGCATGCAGGGGCATGATGTAAGATTCTTGGTGAAAATAAATTAAAGGCAAAGGTGCAGTGTAAACTTAAAGGAAGAGTATTTCCTGATGTTAGGTGATGCTGGCGAGGGAGGCTCTTGTATCAAGTATTGTTTGTGAACTGCTTATGATTAGGTTAAGCATTTAAATTAGATATGGAGGGACATTTTAACATTATTCTTTATAGATGAGCTTTGAAAACAGTTTAGGTTCTTATCTTCAGGAACAAAGCAGAGTCAGGAGATGACTTCTCGGACCTACTCAGTTCCAAAATGGCTGGATCCAATTCACCTGAAACTGGTAATAGGATTCCAAATGTAGGTAATAAATGAACTGTCTTAGAATAATTTTCTCAGTTGCTATTCCTGCCACATTTTAAAATCCAGAATATTGTTTTGTTTGGACAATTAGAATGGATTTCAGTAGTGTCCTTTTCAATGAGAACTTTAGTTTGTTAATCAAATGCATCTCAATTATTGTCTTATTCCAGTAGTTTATTCCACGTAAGTTCTGGAGACAGGAAACATTGGAAATACTGTTGTTTTCAATATCAGCGTATTATGTACACACTGCAATTTTAAATTATATTTCTCTGATTGGCTTGATAAATTGGATTATTAGATTTTTCTAATCTTATCCCCAACAGAGGAATATGAAATAACACTCAAACCATGGTGGCCTGTGGCCATAGAATTTTGCTTGTGGCTCATAGAATTTTGTTTAATTCCTTAACATAGAATCTTGAGGCTTAAAAGGAACTTTAATGTTTCAGATCTGTCCCCTGGCATTTCAGAATTTTTTCTTTAAAGATTTCATCTCATCCTTCTAGTTCGGGTGTAGTTATTGAATTAATATCATGGCTTCTTACCCCTGATTAATGCTCTACTTGCCTTTAGTAAGAATTTATTAACTACTCTAGGTACTATCTAGAGGACTGTGATCAAATCCCAAAAACTCTTAAGTGCTGTTCTTCCATCTAAAAAGCTTAAAATTGAATGATCTGAGGTGCACGATTTTCAAGCCTAAGTCATATGAGATGGAGCCTGTCCCATTAGGTTTGAGATCTTCTTTTATAATTAGATTAAGCAAGGGAGAGCCAAACATTTGAAATGCTCTTGAAATTATAAATAAATAAACACACATCACTTTTTAAAAAGAGACAACTAATGTTTGCACCAAATATTACTTACGAAGAAACTCTTGCTGCCTTCTTCTAACTTGTATTGTAAGTAATATTTATGGAGGGTATATTTTTCCTTTTATCATCTTTGACAGCCTATCAGTTGCCGCTAGTTGGTGTAAGAACTGTAGATAAATTGTCAGAAGGCACAGTTCAGTTCCCATGTCATTTGTATTTGAGCCTTGCCAGAAATTCTCAGAGCCCTGACAAAGGATAAAGGAGTCTCTAACACATTCAGGAAACTGAACGGTTAGCTCAACGCTTGCCAAGGCAAGCCCAAGTTTAAATACGTAATGATATCTGAGATCTTGTTTATAAAAAGTTCTAGTTTACCTGTACCAGGTTCTGGTTAATTTAACACGTGAAGTGTTTCTACAATCAGGGAAAGAGTTAGTCCACCTCATGTGCATTTACTACTATTCATAGTTCTGTGTGTATAATGCTCCTCTCTTGATTCCAGGCAGCTAGGCCTAGACCTCAGTCCGCTTAAATATTAGTCCCTGTTAGCTTCTCATGGTTTTAAATGTTCTATTACTTAACAAAACATAAAGTGAGGAGTACAGTTCTCTATCTTGTGCACTTGGCATCAGAAGGGTAGGCATTACATTCTTATTATATCAGCTGTTATTTAAAACAAGTTTTAATGTAGCCTCTTCTGCTTTTGTGCTTCCCTAGCTTTTCCTAGGAGTATCAGAATAGAGACAAAAAGATAACCATTGGAATCTCACCTTTGCCTTGCTAAATGGGTCATTTGAGCTGTGTAACTATGTCTCTTTTTCAATTTGCCTGGCCGTTTTGGAATACCGACAGAACTAAGGGAAGGAACCTCGAAGAACAGCAGCACTGAAAGCATTCCAAATAGAAATTTCTGTCAAATTGCTGACAAATATCTTGAGCCAGTTGATGGATTGGAACTCTGTTTCTCTTTTGAAATAAGAAACAGGGGAAATCATACAGAGGAAATTGCCTCCAGAGCACATTTTCTTGACTTCAGAGGATCTGTCTTTTATTATTATTGTTGTTGTTGTTATTATTATTAACAAATAAAAATAGTAGACTAGACTGTGCACTCCATGAGGGCGTAGACTGTCTCTCTCTTCCACCATTGAATCCGCAGCACTTGCGCTGTGATTATTTACACAGTATTAATTAGGAAATATTTGAATGAGTGTGCTTGGAAACCATTTTACTTTATTTTTAAGGTTTGTAACGTGTCTCTTTTTGAACTTCTTATTAAGAAAATTTCCAAACATATCAGAGTAGAAAATATATCCTCATGAACTCATTACTCAGCTTTAATAACAATCAACATTTTGCTTGATTCTTTCGTCTTCCCCCCACCTTTTATTTTCTCTTTTTTGGTTGGAACATTTTAAAGTGAAATGCGTATAAAAATAAAGTCTATTACTTAAAAAAAAAAAAAAAAGTGAAACTCAGATACCATGTTATTTCTCTGCAGATATTTAAGAAATGGGCTTAGTAACCACAATGCAATGATCACACTAATAGTAAATCCTCAATTTCATTTAAGACCCTATTCATATTTAAATTTTCTGAAGCCCCCTTTAAAACATACATATGCAATAAATTAAAACTTTTTGACAAAAAAATGAGAAGCTTCTGTAAAAGCATTCTCCTTTCATTATTGTTGAAACTAAACAAGAAAATTTTGTGTATAAGTGTGCAAGAATCCAATAGAACACAACTAATACTCTCCTTAGGTAGTGCTAGTAGTTTGCTTCACATTATAATTGTTTGTGGGAATTACATCTGTGAGACCAGTGCTCACATTCATATACCTCACATTCACCTCTTTGGTCTTTAGAACATGCTCTGATAATTGTTATTATAAATTATTCTAATAGCATACATTTATTGAGTATTTACTGTATGCTAAGCAGTGTGCTTTACGTGCATTATTTCATAAGAGTCTTAAAACAACCCTATTGGCAGGTATTATATCTCCCTCCAGTTAATTTAGTAAATTACCATAGATTTCATAGTTAGTATATGACCTGGGTTTTGAATTTAGGTCTCCTAACTACTGGCTATGCTGCCTCCCTGAGTATGCTTTAAAGTGCTGATGATAAAGAGTTAAATGACCTAAAATTAACCTTCTAAATTTCTTAATTTCTCTGTTGTCTGTTAACCTCCAGGCTGTAAGACTGGAAAGTACTTACCAGAATCGAACACGCTATATGGTAGTGGTTTCAACTAATGGTAGACAAGACACTGAAGAAAGCATTGTCCTAGGAATGGATTTCTCCTCTAATGACAGGTATGATACTGCAAAAAAGAGGGATGTGAAACTCTTTTCTTAAATAACCTGTTCAAGTTGCCTTTTGAGTTATCATAAAAACATCTTGTGCAGTTCTGCTCTTAAAGTTTAAGGCATAAAATTAGAGAACATAAAAGTGTCTCAGCCAGGCTTGGGAGACAAGCATGTTTAATGAAAGTCTTTGTGTGTTCCTAATTTACCACTATTTCTTACCTTCCTTTTATCTTTAGGTAGTAATGATCTAAATTAAATACTTTACAGTTAAATTTCCAGGAAAAACTGCCTTGTCTTGGTGTTCTACTCTATTTTAATCAGTAATGATTCACTTTGACTCTAGGTGACTCTAGGGCACGTGCCCTTTGTGGTAGTCCACCAGTGATCCTGGATTCAAAGAGATCCCTCTTTAACTCCAATCTTTTATATTTATCTATGGCCTTAAACCTTGCTTTTACCAAATATTATACCTTCTTTTTTCTTTTTCTGAGTTAATAAAGGAGAGGAAATAGTTCCTTAAACTCAAAGCAGAACCTTTTATAATCATGCACCTTTGACTTTAGCTGCATTTTACATTCTGTGATTAAAGATACCACACATCACACAGAACCTGGATTTTTGTGTGTCCATGGGGTTTGTTGCTTTCCTTTTTTATTTTCCCACTTTTTCTAGAGAAACTTTGGGAAGGCTGTGGAATGTGACTGCTAAACAGATCTTTGCACTCTAGATAATAAGCCTCAGGAAATCCTGCCAGATGTCTTAAAGCATTGACTTCCTGGCTGGGGACTAGAATGGAACTGTGGAGTAGCTAGGGGTGTGACCCAGGCCTGGGGGAATTTAGTCACAAAGAAAGGAGGAGACTGAGAATGATTCTAATTGTCTTGATGTTGGGGGAGGGGATGTCCCATTGTCACCAGAAAGTTTCCCAAACTAGTGTTTAACTGTACTTGTACGTAGAAGTTAACCTGAAAATGACTGTGGGTTCATAGGGATCGCAAGGCCAGAGTTGTTAGCTTGTATACCACTTACAGTATTTAATTGTATGTTCTGAGTTTACACAGGCTTGTAAAATATTTAGGAAGCTTTTTCCTGCATGGTTTTAACTTGTGGTGTTACCTAAGCAACAGACCTTTCAGTAAGCATTTTCCTTTAAGAGCACCTACCTTGTCTGCATTCAGTAAGACTTTAGGACCTCTGATTTGAGTTTATATCTCTCTACATCTATATTGTCCAATGGTAACCACTAAACAAATTTATTTATTTATTTAAATAAAATTTAGTTCCTCAGTCATAACTAGTCACAATTCCAGTACTCAGTAGCCATATGTGGCTAGTGACTACTATATTAGACAGTACGTGTATAGAATATTTCCATTATTGCAGACAGTTCAGTTGGACAACATTGCTGTAGCTCATGTTTGCTTTGTTCAGTTCTCCCTGACTCCTCCCTTGAAAAACCCTATAAAACAGGAACTGGGGCTGTATGGAAACTTCAATTGAGTCCTCTCCTAGAGACAGGAGGCAGTAACTGCAGATTGTCCTGACCCAGAGCGTGAGCAATCAGATGTCTAATCTTATCTTTTTCATTTTTTCCCAAACTTTACCAGAAAGAATGTTTATTAATATGGGTGTCCAGTAATTTATCCTCTGTTTTGTAATATCTGACAAGTGCCACTAACAAAGGGAAATTTTAGTTTATGGAAAACAAAGGGAGACATGAAAAGCTAGAAACTAGTTTTTATTCTGTTTGGTAAACTTGATAATATGAAATTCCTGTACATCCTCTGCTTGAATGAGCCCCTTAGACAGTAAGAGAAATGCTGCCAACCTCAGAATACTGGTGTTCAGGTAATCTAATATTATTTCTATCTCAGTCACTGTTGAAGGAATTTGTATCATTTTGTATCTGGGAGTATAAAAATGTTAATATTTCAAAACAGTATTAAGCCAAAGTGGAACCTAGATTATTTATGACAAGTACAAGTAGTTCTTAATAAATGTTACAGCCAATTCATTTAGCCTACTTACAAGTTCTTTGAGTATTGTGTTATATTTTAATACATTTTTTAGTATATAGTGTAATCTTGGCTTCCAAAGTGCATTGGATATACTTCAATTTATAAAATAATAGAACTTCTTGGTTTGGTTTGGTTTTTTAACTTCTCTTTGTACCCCCAACAACTTGAAATGCCTGGAACATAGTAGGCACTAAATAACTATTTGTTGAATGGGATGAGTATCTACTAAAATAAGTAGCTATACTTTAATGGAGAAAAAATCTCATGAGACTCAGGTGAACTGGATAAAATACCAGGTGTGCCTAATTGAGGCCTCTTCTTCCTGTTATGTGAAAAAGCTAATACTTAATGTAAAAAAGCATTCTGACTTGAATATAAACTGAAAATGTGATGTTGGTTTCTACATATGATTGTCACATCTCCAAAGGTTGCCTGGCATCTAGTCACAAGTTCATGGATCACGCTGTTCTAGAGCTTCTGTATCTTCTATAGTTACTTAATTTCTAGGTTTGTTACTGAGCTATCAACCCTTTATACTTATGCTACAAGTTATATTTGTTACTAGGAACCTGGCTAAGCACTCACTAAATAAAAAACAAAAAGCTACTCTAAGAATAACTCTACTCCATCTTGGAAGCTATTTTCAAAACAACTTTTCTATGTACCCACCTCATCTTCTCCACAAAACACGGTAGATCTATCTTACTCACTCCTAGACACTAGCATAACCACTGTGCCTCTGGTGTTCAGGCCCAGGATTCTAATGTGGATAAGTGTGCCAGTCTTGATTTGAGTCTCCTGAGCTCTGGAATCACTTGTAGGGTGTTGAATAATAGGCCAGCAAGTGTAGTGAAAAGCCCAACTAGGGGCTAGCCTTCTGTAGCTCTGCAGTGACTTCAACAGTTAAAGCTTGATATTCCTCTTATTGTTTTTAAATCACTTGCATAATGCTTCCCACCACCTGCCCACCTCCAGATCACTTGCAGATGTATTAGAGCACTCACTACAGATTCATACTCAAAATTTGTTTTACAGGACAGTGCATTTACATATATTGTTTTACTTTAAATATTTTAAATATTTATGATAACCCTATGAGGATAGGCTTCATTATCTGCATTTTAAGATGAAGAAGTTAAAGCTGAAAGAGGTTAAATAACGTCAAAAGAAACTAATACTGAAGGAGATAAAATCTAGATCTTTTGGCTTAGTAGACACTCAGTAAATTATCATTGAACTGTTATTAGGTTTTAGGCTCTTTTGTATGTATTTTTGTGTGTGTTATCTAATTTAATCTTCAAAACAGCATAATGAAGAAGATACCTATGTTTTTATCCCAGTTTTGCAGATGAAGAAATTGGGGCAGAAAGCAATCAGGCAATTTGCCTAAGATTAGAGTAGAGCCAGAACCCAGGTTTCACAACCCATGTTCTTAACTTTACTGCATGGTTCCCCCTCCCATATATGAGGTTCTTGCTGCTACACCATGCTGCCTCTCTAGATATACTGGCAGGTGTAGGAGCCTTTGGAGATTGGCCAGAGGGGAAAAGTGGTTTATGGAAGGCAGCCTTAAGGAGAAAAAGTGGCAGAGGTCTGGAGTAGGTTACAGTTGTCCAGAGAAGTGGTGTGATAGAGCACATGATTGGGAGTCCCTGGTTTCATATACCAAGCTGTTCCATTAACTTAAAGCCAGTTTCCTCCCTGGGCTAGTGTGTGAGTGAAATAGTATTTTATTATACCATACTAATGTTACCCTTTTGTTGGTTGTTGGCATTCGTATTAACCCTGTGTTTTTAGCAGTGCTAGTTCAGTGAACAATCACCAAGCACTATTTTATTTGTTTAAGCTAAGTTGTATCTATTTTGTCTCTCTAACTTGATCACAAGCCATTAAGAATTACTTCTTTACATTTTTTTTATTCCCTTTCCCATTTAGACTATTGAGTATGTTCTGGTGTTCAATATATCTATATAAACTTCAAAATTAGAATTGAGCAAATCACACATTCCAAGATCTTCAGCAACCAGCAGTAGTTCTTAGCATTAGAAATAATCCTTGGAGTTGAGTTGGGTGCTGTACCCCAGGCTAAGACCTGCCAAATGCAAGTCAGCAACAGTCGCCTGGATTTTTTAGATAGTGGCCACTTTTAAGACAGCAATAGAGAAAGCTCAGTAAGTTTTGTTAAATGTATAAGGAACTGATTAACCGTCTCAAAACAGCTCCTGAAGGACATAAATGGGATTAATAGTAAAATGAAATAGAAATTTCTTCTCTGTAATACTTATGCCAGAATTTAGAGCTTAGGGGTTTATCCTTTGTGTTAAAAGACTTAATAAGCAAAAGACTGAGTCCCAGAATAATAGGAAGTAACTTATGGACTATTTCTTGTCTTGTAGTAGCATTTGTACCATGGGCTTAGTCCTGCCTCTCTGGAGTGACACCCTAATACACTTGGATGGTGATGGGTAAGAGCTTTCCCTTTTTATTCTCCTACAGAAAACCAGTGGGGATGTGGGATTCCATCTTAGTGCCCATTTATTCAGCTAAATGGGAGGCCCAGGTGCCCAACTGAATTGTCATGTCAATAGCTCAATGAGTCCTTTTAAACTCCTGTTTGGTAAAATGGAGTAAAACCAAACTTGTCAGTGTCTTTCACTAAGGCAACTATGGTAGGAATCCAGACAAAGAAGAACTAGTTTGTTGGCTCACTCTTTAATGTGAGCATGTGGGACTGTTGCAATGTTCTCCCAGAGGATGATACGTTCTGTTTCAAATAACTTCTTGCCACCTCTGCCAGCTGTCAGCCCACAGTATAACCTCTTTCCTGTGCCGATTCCTTCCAGTGACCCCCACCCCCAACTCCTGGTGTTTTTAGAATATGTCCCCAAGAGAACAAGATGTTGGCACCAGTTTATAAAACCAGGGTCAGGTTTGCTAAGAACCCACAAGACTTCCAAATAGAAATATACAGCAGAACAGTTTGTCCATAGCTACAGCTGGGAAACTGTATGTAATTCTCCAACCCCAAAGTAGGAGTCTATTCATTTTGCCTGGTAAATAAAATCAGACAATTAGCTTAAAGCCTTTCAGGCAAGACAGTTAACATCTACATGAAGTGCCTGATGATTTCTTCTACTGAGCCAGCTGTTGCTAGCCTGGGAAACAATCTTGAAAACTCACAACTGAAATAACCTACACTCATTTATGGATTTTTGTCTTGTTCTCTTTTGTCCTTAGTGGGTTCAGCGTATCAACAGATAACAGAGTTCACATATTCAAACCTGTATCTGTACAGGCAATGTGGTAAGATGACTTTTAATATCTCTACAAAACTTTTAAAATACATTATTGGAGCAATATTTTGTGAGAAGTAGCAATTTGAAATGGTACAATTTGCTATGAAAATGCTGTATGATGTGTTTGCATGTATAGGATTTTGTGGCCATCATAGTTAAAGATGACTTAGAAGTGCTATTTTCAAATTGTTACAGTGGAAGGCCTTGAGAATTGGTGAACAAGTGAAATTCAGAGGTATTTGGCTCTAGAAGAGATTTAATGGATCAGATAGCTGGTTGGAACTGAGCTTTATAGGGACACATGGACTAAGTTAGTTACTTAGCAGTCTGTTAGCTAAGTCTAGAACACCACACTGCTATGCATTAGCTTTCTATTTCTTAAGGTAATCAGGGGTAGCATTGACAGAGTTACATTATAGATAGATAAATTTCCATTTAATCTGGTGGTGGCTATTTTCATAATGAAAACAAAGCCTAAAGAAAACACTGTAGTTATAAATAGTTATCAGTTGGTACACTGACACTTTTAGGTTATTTACTATGTGCCAGGGATTGTGCCAGGTGCTTTACATGGATTATATTTAATTATCACACCGACCCCCAAAATAGTATTATTAGTCTCTTATTATGGATGAGAAAACTGAGGCTTTGGAGAGGTCGCATAATTGGCCTGAGAGTATCTCTTACATTTAGACAGAATAGACTCTTACTTTCTTGTTCTGGATTATTTAGAAAATGATCTACTATAACCAGGGAAGGATGTAACTCTAAGACTGAGTCTGTACCCCAGTCAGGGATTTGAATTTTAGTTTCTCGTTCAGCTTCTTGTTCTATAGTAGAAGTCCCCATCAGGAGTGGAATGAACAGAAGGCAAACAAAACAAGAAATAAAAGTTTCTGAAAGACACCAGGGAGGTAATCTACCCCTGAATAACAGAATTGATAGGACTGAGGTGGGTGGAGTCCTAAGAGTCGCTGAACAGTTAACAGTCTTATCATTCTGTGCAGAAATTGAGATAGGACAGTTTCAGGTCATGTGCTTAGACCAGATTTTTAGATTTAGGGTATATTTCTTTCTTTCTTTTTTTTTTTTTTTTAAAGATGACCCGTAAGGGAATCTTAACCCTTGACTTGGTGTTGTCAGCACCACACTCTCCCAAGTGAGCTAACCGGCCATCCCTATATAGGGATCCGAACCTGTGGCCTTGGTGTTATCAGCACCACACTCTCCCAAGTGAACCATGGGACGGCCCTGATTTAGGGCATATTTCACAGCTAAATTTCTCATGGAAAACTTGTGACCTCTTTTGACTAAGGCTCTTAAAAGCAACTGATGTATCTATTCCCAAGTACTAACTAAAACCAAATAATAGTAAGGCCCATAAGTGACAGTGTTTTCAGGTGTATTTTGGGGAGGAGTACAAAGCAGTCTTAATTCAAGTAAATAACCTTAGATCACGCTTTGAAGTTCGAAAGTAGACTGATGAGTCCTAGCTCTGTTAGCTTATTGCAGAATAAATTTTTTTGGGTGTACCACATGGGGAGTAGTGAATTGAAAATCAAAGAAAAAAAATACACATACATGATGCATGGATCAAAGCAGCATTTAGACCAGGTGTTTCCTTCACAGGAGGGTAATTACTGCAGCCTTCCACTGCTATATGCAGCTGAAGTATCTGAGGTAGCTAGATCATGAGTATATTTTAGGCAGTTGCATCAGACTGTGTAGCATATGCTCTTGAAGCAAGTGTTTCCTAGATGAAGAAAACATGCATTGAGTATCCTGTGCATTATACTAAGCTGGCCCTTACCTTTGAATTTGTGTAGTGAAACTAAAATTCTCTGATAATTCTCTGAAAAGTTGGCTTTCTCTGAGAATTTGGCTTACTTCGAATGATAGAGAGCATTTTAAAAAGATTCTACAACTTTGTTTTTAAGGAAAAATCTGTTTCCCTAATAAAAAATGGACTGGCATATTTTTCCTTTATTAATGTATATTTTTAAAAATCATTTTAATGTACATTATCTGGGGTTGACAAGAATTCAAGGAACAGACATTGTCATATACTATTGGTGGAAGAATGAACTGGAACAACCTTTCTGGAGAGTGATTTGCCAATATGCCTTGTCATTTTGCATGCCCTTTGACCTAGTAATTCTCCTTCTAAGAATTTACCCAAGGTAATAAGTGTGTGTGCATAGCAAAGATTTAGCTATAAGAATGTCTGTCATTATTCTAATAATAGCAAAAATAATTGGAAAATATTTAAATGTCTTAAAAATAAGAGTCAGTTAAATTATGGCACTTCTATGTTATTAAATATTATGCAACCATTAAAAGTGATCTAGTTATGGGCCAGCCCAGTGGCGCACTAGAGAGTGCACCGCTTGGGAGCGCAGCGGCGCTCCCGCCGAGGGTTCGGATCCCATGTGGAGACCAGTTCCCGCTCACTGGCTGAGCGCAGTGCGGGCGCAACACCGAGGGTTGTGATCCCGTTACCGGTCAGTAAAAAAGACAAAAAGGAAAAAAAAGTGATCTAGTTAAAGAATATTTATTGACATGGAAATATGTTGACGAGAGGCTGTAAAGTTAAAGAGCATGTTATAAACAGTATTCAGAAAGTGATCATATCTTTATTATAGATCTATGTATAGACAAAAAGACTGGAAAGATCTACACCAAAACCTAAATGGTTATTATTTCTGGGTGGAGGGATTATAGGATATTTCTGCCTTTTATCTGAGGTCCTTGAATTTTCTAAAGTAAACATGGGTCACTTTTGTTTTGAAGGAAAAATAAATAAAAAGGCATTTTTAAGAAAAAGATATAAATATGGGCCGGCCCGTGGCTCACTCGGTAGAGTGCGGTGCTGATAACACCAAGGCCCCGGGTTCGGATCCCATATAAGGATGGCCGGTTCGCTCACTGGCTGAGCGTGGTGCTGACAACACCAAGTCAAGGGTTAAGATCCCCTTACCGGTCATCTTTTAAAAAAAAAAAAAGAAAAAGAAAAAGATTTAAATAGATTGGCGAGGAATGAGAATTCTCTCATACTGTCTTTTTCTCTTAGAGATACATTAGTTTATAGCTAATAAGATATTTCATTCAATAAATACTATTGACCTCCAACTATGCTCCTGCGTAATTTATTTCCTAGCATTTCTGGCTTAAGCTTTTCCCAACTGTGTAACCAAAAAGGTACTTGTCATTTTTGTTTACCCTTGTCGGGTTCCTGAGTTCAGAGTCAGAAGGTTTACTCAGTCTCAGAGTAATTAGAGCTGTTGTTCTTAGAAAATAGCTCATGTATATGAATAAACGGTTTAAAGAGAATAGGAGACACAGGCTGCAAAAATGCTAAATGTCATTAGATCAGTACTTCCTGGACATTAAAGGACGTGTCCTCAAGGCTTAGTGACATCTATCTATGTGATCTATGTGGAGCCTCTAAGAATCTTAGGGAATGTGTGCTGTCATTTGATTCTGTGCCAAGGGAAACAAATCTTCGTATCGTAAATTAGTTGAGATCTTTAATTTTCTAATGATACATCACAGCCACAGCATGGTTCCAACTATAGGATAATGAGCTCCATAGGTAACCAGACCTATTTTTCACTGGTGAGCTGTCAGTTCTCCCTTCCCACCCTCCAACACCCGACCTTAATGATACATCATACCTTTCAACAAATGTCTAGTCTGTTGCTATGGATAGGTAGTATGGTATAATCAGAATTGGAGAATCTTGAATTTCAGCGAATAGATTCTCCAAAGGCCAAATTCTATAGAATTTAAAAATTAGAAGAGTTCGGGGTACACAATTCTGCAGTTCTCATTTCCCAGCATATCTTCCAGGTCTGCACTACAGAGTTTACACAAAGCTTGTGAAGTGGCCAGAATGCATAACTACTATCCAGGCAGCCTATTTCTCACCTGGGTGAGTTATTATGAGAGCCATATCAACTCAGATCAATCCTCAGTCAATGAATGGAATGCTATGCAGGATGTGCAGTCCCACCGGCCCGACTCTCCAGCTCTCTTCACAGACATGTAAGTCAGTTTGCTGAGAATTGTGGAAGTCCTCCTTGTTGTGTCCTAGGGAGTCATAGGTAGCATGTTCCTTCTTATCTCTTCTCTTGGGGAATTAGTCTTACCCAGTGATATGAGTCACTGTCTACAGCACACATCTGCCCCACATAAAGAACTCTGTCCTTTCTGTTGCCTGCAAAGGCCTGAAGAGTTTCACTATTGGGCACAATGAAATCTCCATAGTCAAGAACTACAAAATGATAAATTTCCATTATTCAGATTCCACTAATTTGAAATTTGAATCTAAAGGAGTTGAGTTAAAGTTTGTATTTGAATTATCTGTGAAAGAAGCATTTGGTAAGCAAATTAATGACATAAGGAAAATTTTAGAGGGATGTGTGTAATACTAAAAAAAGACAAGATGTTTCCAGTTGATTCAAAAGGACAACTAGGTTGTTAAGGTAATTTTACACTGATTTCTCTTCAAGTTTTTTTAAAAAGTATTTTATCATTCAAGTATATTCCTCCGCTCCACCCTTGCCTTGGTAAGTCCTTGTCAGTAAGATTTTGTTAATCTCCCTAGTGTACTTACTGTGAGCTGGAAAAGGCCTACAGTGGAGCTGATGTTTATTTCCTTTTCAGGTCTATGTGTTAAAACTTCTGTGACTATTTTGGAAGTTTTTTTACACTTAGTTCCTGCTTTGGAAATTAATCAGGTTGTTTATTTTACTCTGAATTGATCTTTCTGCACTTCCAAGGTATTCCACAGCTAGGAAAGAAGAGTAGCTACTTACCATCTAATCTTACAGATAGGATTCACCTTCAGATTCCAAAAGTCATGCCAAAACCATTTATGATTTTTTTAAAAGAGGCTTAATTTGGATAATAGTTTTATAAATGCTTTTTACTACAAAAGGTGAAATTTCCAAGTATTGTGTGAAAGAAACAGTCCAAAAAACAGTGGAATCTTTTTTGCACAGGGTGTTATTAGTAGTAGGACCTCCTTTTCAGTAGCTCTGGTCCTAAGACCCCACAGAAACTAAAAAGATAAGTATTTATGATTTTATGCTTTACAGATGGTTGATGGGTTTCATAGGAATGGATGTCTCATCTAGCTCAAAAAAGCACATTCTAAACCAGACTTATGTGAGAGAGAGAAAATTCTTCCCATTTTTCCTGATTTTATTACAGAAGATTCAGAAACTATAGCACAAAAAGAAAATGAAGTTGCTCATAATCTCTCTACATCCTTAAGCAAAAAAACATAAAAGGTAGTCCCTGGTACATGGTAGAGGCTCATTAAATGTTAGTTCTTACTTAGTATGTACAATATAACCCTGGTTTTAAGAGAGATTTAATAGACAAGTGTCTATCTGTTCACAGAAAAATTATACATGAAAGCTGTAGGCCATATTATTATTAATGATTATCTCTAGATAAAGGGATTTTCAATGATTTTTATTTTCTTTATATTTTTCTGTATTTTCCAAATTTTTCTATGTTGAAATTGAGGAAGAAAAACTGTGTTTGTTATAACGCTTTTTCCATTCCCTCCTCTTCCCTGAGTTGACTAGAAAAGCCTATGAAAGAATGCTGAGAGTACAGGGAGAAAGTGTTCCAAAATGGACTTAAGTGCTCTACTGTCAATAGTTTGTGTTTTGAAATCCCAAGGAAGGGAGAAGGGAATATACATGCATGGTGCGCCCAGTAAAGGTCAAATGCTATGCCAGGCACTTTATATGTGATATCTCATTAAATCCTCATAAGAATCTCATGAGACAGCTATTACTATCCTCATTTTATAGAAAAGGAACCAGAGGTTCAGGGAAGAGAGGGAACTTGTTCACCACCAGTAAGTAGCAGGGCTGGAATTAAAACCTAGGCCTGTCTGCTCCCAACCCAATCTGCTGCAAACAAGTGTAAAGGATTGAGGGAAAAATTGCTAAACTAGGGAATCTCACACATGCACATGGGTGCTAATATTTGTTTTTTACCAATATTCCTTTCTTAATGAAAGACTGAAAGTATACATTTACTTTCTACCATTAGCTATGTCTAGGAAAAATGACACATGGATACAAATTTTAATCTTAGTTAAGATAGGGATTCCTTGACTGATTGACAGGCAGATGGCACAGGTATTATCTGTATTCTGCAGGATTCATAAGAAACTAAGAGCCCAAGTGGTGGGGAGCCCCAAGGTTGTGAGGTTAGAGCATCCATTTTTGGAGATTACTGAAGCTATTTTTGAAGCCAGTGATAAGACCGTAGGCAGCAAGGGCAGGCAGGATGCCTGAAGGCTTAGTCCATTTCCATCTCCAAATAAGGAGGTGCAAAGCAGATACCTTTCTTGGGTAGGTTGGGGGTAAAGATGAGACAGAAAGTGCTTTCTGTCAGCCTCACTCAAATTCTGCATATTATTAAATAATGCTTTTAGAGAGAAGCATCCAGTTACATTGAACCAATGCTTTTCTAGTAATTGGAGAGTCAACTGCCTAGTTTGATTTCATATTGAAGTTCCAAAGATAATTTTATTTTTAAGAGAGTCAGAAGTTGAAGGGAAGCAACATAATCCTGCAGGGAGAATGTTAGGCTGGGCTGAAAGTTCTGATTTTCCTGCCTTGTGTGATTATCAGCATGTCATTTAACTTTTCAGCTGTTTATTTCCTCTATCTGTAAAATGAGGATAACAATTTCACAAAGATATTATGAGAGTTATCATAAAAAGGAAAGCATTTTGGATGGAAGTACCCTAGGTAGTTAGTTCCTGCAAACCATTTTGGGAGAGAATTTGCCTTATTGAGGAAGGCAGGATCACTTTTCCTTCTTTCCCTTTTTCTAGAACCACAGCAATGAATGATCAGCACAGGGTGACATTTTAAGCTACAGAAGACCTAGTTCCATAGTGGGTCACACCACTGGTCTACCCAGCTTGGTATTCTGGCTCAGTGATAGCCATAAGTACTTAATGGAAAAGTGTGGATATGATCCTCCATTAAAGTATTATACTCAGTAATACCCAATTTGTCTTTGCTCCTTCATGGATCTATATGCATGAATATATTTAAGGGCTTTTAGAACCTCTTCAAGTAATAATTTCTACGTGTTTACATTCTATACATTCTGAAAAGAAACTTTTAAAAATATAACTTTCTTTTGCCATGCTCTCACAATATAATCTGAGATTAATAAAGGCAAGGCTTGCCAATTTGGAAACATAATCATATAGTACATTCGTTAACTTTGTCAAATTCCGGCTTAAGGAAAATCATCACTTCTCTCTCTCAGACCAACTGAACGTGAGCGAACAGAAAGACTAATTAAAACCAAATTAAGGGAGATTATGATGCAGAAGGATTTGGAGAACATTACATCCAAAGAGGTAAGAGATCTTGAGTCATAATTGTTCCAAGGCTAGGGCTGGGATAACAGTGGGTCTGGGGCATTAGAAATGGCTGATAGTTGAGAGTACAGAGGAACTTTACAGAAACCAGTGTAATATATCATCTTTGTTTCAGATACGAACAGAGTTGGAAATGCAAATGGTGTGCAACTTGCGGGAATTCAAGGAATTTATAGATAATGAGATGATAGTGATCCTTGGTCAAATGGATAGCCCTACACAGATATTTGAGCATGTGTTCTTGGTAAGTTTTAGGGCCACTTTAAGTGGTGTGCTGAAGCTAGCCCATATGAACTCATGGGGGGGCAATATTAAATAAAATGTAACTTACATTAAAGGTAAGTGTGCAAATACTTATTAAATATTAAATAAAATGTAACTTACAGTAAAGACAAAGGTAAGTATGCAAACCTCATCAGGTCCTAATTATTTTACTACATTTTAATATTATCTGTGCTCTTAAGATTATTTATATCTGTCGATGGTGCAAATGTTATATAATTGTGTGCTACTGCTCTTCTCCTTCCAATTCCTCATTTAGTAACATCAAGCTTGTGGATTAAAATGGACCATGATGGGAATATTTGTACCAAGGAACTTGGCAAATTTTACAAATCAGGCTTTTCTTCCCCTAGGTTGTTAAATATTTTATCTGTTTTTCATAATACTCAAGGTCAAAAACACACCAGTCCAGAATAGTTTTATGCAGTGCATCCAAATAGGATGATCCTTTAAGGTCACTGTTTCAAATCTGCCAAATCTGTCAAGGTCTGACATATCTGAGCAGAGCAGGTGGGGACTACTTAAAACTGAGAGGCTGTTGGACATTTAAACACATGAAATCTTCTAGCTACGTTTTGAGTCCCCCAAATACTTTTGTGATACCAAAAAGTCAGACTAAAAATTATTCTTGGTTCCTGAACATTCAGTGACCTATAAGTAGCTCAAGGAGACTTCTCTGACAGATAGATTAGGAAAGCTTCTAAAATCCTAGGACCCATTTTCCTCTCAAAGAGTTTTAGTTTTCATCTGTACACATAGTGGGAACAAGTTAACAAGGATAATTAAAATCAGTGGGGAATGGGCCGGCCCGGTGGCGCACTGGAGAGTGTGCCGCTTGGGAGTGTGGCGGCGCTCCCGCCGAAGGTTCGGATCCCATGTGGAGACCGGTTTCCGCTCACTGGCTGAGCACGGTGTGGGCGCAACACCAAGGGTTGCGATCCTGTTGCCGGTCCCCGGTACGAGCGCAACACCAAGGGTTGCGATCCCGTTACCGGTCAGTAAAAAAGACAAAAAGGAAAAAAAAAAAAAGTGGGGATTGCCAGAACCTTGCTTTTGTGTCCATTTCCCACACACTTTGACCAAAAATGCTAACCAAGAGCTGCATCAATTGGTTTGAATTTCACTTCCTTTTTCTGGTGAGGACAATTGTGAACTGTGAAATGATTAGATACTGAGAAACAGGAGAGAAGAGGAATGAACGCACAGGAACTGACAAACTAGATCACTCTGAATATTTAAGAGTTTATTTCAGCAGGCAATCCGACTTTGTGCCATTGAAGGCTTGTGCCCAGAAATAACTTGTTGACACTGTAGAGTGTGTGTGTCTTTAGAGTGATTCATAGTGGTGTATAGCTATGAAGTTACTCATGAAAAGCTATGAGTTGAGAGGGGGACATCTTTTCCATTACTTTAACTTGACCAATATGTGTTGCTATTTCTGGATGTAGATCATACTGTAAAACTGTCATTGGCCTTTCCATTTGTAAGGCACCTGGCTTTGTTGTCCCTTATGTATACTTCCATGAGGGTTCAACTATATCCTGCTCTTGTGTTGCTGGAAAGAATCTTTGTGTTATCTATAGAAAACTTATGAGTCACTCATTCAAATGGGCCCTGCCCCCAACTGTCTCCATGTAACCTGACTAATTTTTATGAAGGGCAAAATAAATGCCTGTAGCCAAAAAGAGCTCACGTTAGAAAGTGAGCACAGCTGCAAACTTAGAAGTCACTTTGACATTTAGCTTGGATTTTAACACCTAAAAGGATGTAGACATGATGAATATCAAATATAGTTCATTTCTGACTGGTCATCCTGTTTTATTTCAGACATTCTTCCCTTTGTTTCTGATACCACCCATTCAAGAACTACCCCCCTCCTCAAATAGCATATTTTAGGGCATATAAGCACATTCTAATACTACTCTAAGCAAAGAGAACAATCTAATTCCCACAAAATTACATTTTCCTAATCAATCACAAATGCATTTGAGTGTTTATACCAGTAGATTCATCCTATGTTTTTATGATTGTCAGGCATATTCTTCCATCTTGAGTTTTTTTCTTTTTTCTTTTTTTTTGTCTTTTTTCGTGACCGGCAACGGATCGGAACCCTCAGTGTCGCGCCCGTACCGGACCGGGACCGGCCACGGGACTGCAACCCTCGGTGTTGCTCCCGCTCCTCGCTCAGCCAGTGAGCGGCCGGTCTGTATGTGGGATCCGAACCCTTGGCGGGATCACCACCGCGCTCCCAAGCGGCGCACTGTAGCAGTGCGCCACCGGGCCGGCCCGAGTTTTTTTCTTATTACAAAAATCATTCATGTTCATCATAGAAAATTTTAGAAGCCGGGCCGGCCCGGTGGCGCACTGCTATAGTGCGCCGCTTGGGAAGCACGGTGGCGCTCCCGCCGAGGGTTCGGATCCCACATACAGACCGGCCGCTCACTGGCTGAACGAGGGGCGGGAGCAACACCGAGGGTTGCGATCCCGTGGCCGGTCCCGGTCCGGTACGGGCGCGACACTGAGGGTTGCGATCCGATGCCGGTCACGAAAAAAGACAAAAATGAAAAAAAAAAAAAAGAAAATTTTAGAAGACAATAAATTACATTTAATTAGGGCTGGCAGGTTAGCTCAGTTGGTTAGAGCATGGTGCTGATAACACCAAGGTCAACACTTTGGATCCCTGTACCGGCTTGCCACCAAAAAAGAAACAAAAAGAAAATCACATTTAATCATCTCCAAGACGGATAATCACTGTTACCTTTTGTTATGTAATATTACCGTCCAACCATTTTTACTTTTATTTATATACATATATACACATATATATGATACATGGATTTTATTTTTTAGAGTAGTTTTAGGTTCACAGAAAAATTGAACGGAAGGTACAGAAATTTCCCATATGCCCCCTGCCCCTACACATGCATAGCCTCCCCCATTATCGGCATTCCCCTACCACAGTGGAACATTTGTTACAACTGATGAACCTACACTGGCACATCATTATCAATCATAGTCCATAGTTTATGTTAGGATTCACTCTTGGTGTTGTACATTATATGGGTTTGGACATATTTATGATGTGTATCCAGTCTGTCTATATGATACTATTACAGTATCATATAGGGTCTTTTACTTTCTTAATACGTGTACATATTTTTTTTTTTTTTTAAAGATGACCAGTAAGGGGATCTTAACCCTTGACTTGGTGTTGTCAGCACCACACTCAGCCAGTGAGCGAACCAGCCATCCCTATATGGGATCCGAACCCGGGGCCTTGATGTTATCAGCACCGCACTCTCCCGAGTGAGCCACAGGCCGGCCCTACGTGTACATATTTTTGAACAAAGGAAAATCTCTTCAGCTCCAGAAATAATACTATTTTCTAGAGAATGTATATTTTCTTTCCATTGTGAATATTTTTCTTATTTGGAAAAAAGTTTCCAAATTGGAGAATCCTGAAATTTAACTCCTGTCCAACAAAATAAGTACATAAACAGGTTGTCTAAATATTTTATTATACGTGTTCCTTGGTGGCTTCCTCCCTTTGTTTGCATCACCATATTCTGTGTTCAAACCCCTGTCTCTTCTCTAGTGAGTCTGTGCCCTGCTGGTTTCCCCAACAATTGATACGGAAAAAGAGGTCTTATCCTAGCTGCAAGTGGCGGTGTTAATTTTCTGCAAAGTCATCTCATCTTGTGCATAGCTGCCATGCCTGGAGCTCAACCAGATTGTGTGAAGAGAGGCAGCGGGATTTCTCCCTCCCTTTGGGAGAATGGTCAGCTCTGCAGTGTACTGCACAGAGATCTGTTTATTTAGAAAGATGTCCAGGTGGTATGGAGAGGAACGGTATATAACATAGTTTAAAGAAAACCTGCAGTGAGAAGAGAGGATTGATTGGTGGAAAGCCAGGGTCTGTCTAGAAAAATAGGTTATTCCACATCCTCGTGAGTGTACTACTTCTCTGAGCTGGAAGCCTTTGCCCAACCAAATTTCAATATCAGCAGCTCTCCTGGAGGCTGTTCAATTTGGCTGAGAAAAAGCTAGATGTGAACAGAGAGACCCTTTGCAGAAAAACAGGCAGCTTTCTTAGTTAAACAAGGGAAACATGAGAATATTGGGCACACAACCAATAAGTTTGCTTATGAATAAAAAAAGTAGTCAGAGTTTTTACTGATAATTATCTTTTTTAAGATTTGACATTACATACCTTTATAGAATATTGTTCCCTTTTCAAAGAAAAATTCAGCCTCAGATAGGTTACTTTTACCGTAGGTGCGAAGAAATGGAGGGTATGTGAATAGATGAGACAGTAATCAAATGCAATATTTTAATCATATTCATTATTTTTGTCCCTGAACTGGAGATGAATGGCATAAAATTCTCTTGGAAGGAAAAGTTAATAAAGAGCTTATGCCTGGTTACCACAGTAATGTGACTTACACCACCGAGGCTATAATTATGGTACTATAAATCAGTGAACATGTGTGAAGTGAAGATATGGACAGGGATACCAGTCCTTGCTGATTATGTCAAGTTGTATTTATCTTAGTAGAACCTCCAGTACAATCCTTACTTGCTATTAATGTGTTCTCTTCTATTTTGCTTGGAACAGTTGGACCCCAGCAAGGCTATTTACTGAGGATAACATTTGAAATGTTACATGGGTCTTTCAGCCAGTATACAGTGCAGAGGAATCAGAGTAAAAGAGTGAAACTTAAAGATGTATTATAGTCCCAAGATTTCATTTTACACTTCAGTAAGATTAGAATATGTTTTACAGGGCCAGCCTGTGGCTCACTCGGTAGAGTGCGGTGCTGATAACACCAAGGCCACGGGTTCGGATCCTATATAGGGATGGCCGGTTTGCTCACTGGCTGAGCGTGGTGCTGACAACACCAAGCCAAGGGTTGAGATCCCCTTACCGGTCATCTTTATAAAAAAAAAAAAGAATATGTTTTA